GATCACTGTATTCAAAAGGTTCTCATGTGGAAGAAAGGTTGGACTTACTCTGTAGGACTTCAGAGGGCAGAGCTAGCTAGGGTTAATGATTGGAAGGCTGATTTTGCTCATTATCAGGATGAAATTTCTAAAAATTTAAATAAATTCAGAAATAAAATGGCCTAATGAAGTAGCAAGTTTTTCATTATAAACAGTGCTCAGGCAGAGCCTGGGGCTTGTGAGTGTCATAGAGGATTCTAATGCATCGGGTGGGAGGTTGGACCAGAAAGCAATTCATTCTGGCTTAGTTTGTTTGTACTTAGGTCATTTGGAGTTCTAAAGTTCAAAAAAAAAAATTAACTAAATGAACAACTAAAATGAAAACAGAATGGTGTCTCTTCCAGGATCAGCTAAAAATATTAGAACTTTGTTGCCTGGAAAGACAAAAGTCAAGAGACTGAAATTCCCTTAATAAATATTTATTGATTGGTTAACTGAAGTCATTAAAATCCCATAATGCTAAAACCAGGAGGCTTCAGTTTTCCAACCAGCAAAATGAGAGAGTTATTCTAGATCTCTAGGATATTGTTCTTTGATTCTGCAGATGGGAAAGTGGAGCAGTTTGGGATACATCTTTAATCCTTTGAATTTGTTTTCATGGTGGGCAACTTCCATTCTTGATTATGAAAGCATTTTGGTACCTTTGACACAATGTTACTTTGAACAATTGGGTTTGAAAATCCTGCACTCGTATATTTACTTTTAAGTACTTTGCCTTTAATTAGAGTGTGCTTCTCTACCGTTTGATCAGGAGGTGTCTGGATTGCTTCCCATTTGGTTGAAAACAGGATTGTCATGTTTTTTCTGTCTTTTTAACCCATTCTTTTCCACCCCCCAAAAAAACTTCACCCTCTATTAAAATAATTAAGTATAAATAATAACAACAAGGTAAGTTATTAAAGAATGCAAAGTTAAAATTGGTACCTAACTTTCCCACCATTTATTGTAGCATTGCTTTTCAACCAATGTTTAAGTAGATTTAGATTGCTTTTACTCTGGAGTCAAAATCTCCCCAGGGTATGTGCTTCTCATAGTCAAAAGCTCGTGCTCTGCTAACCTGATATAACTGTGAATAGACAAATGGCTTTGCCATTACCACTCCTCTTCCTGGCTTTTTTGCTTCTTCAATTGCAGAAAGAGCAGTTTGGTATTTCACCCTTTTAAGTAGCTGCTTACAGGAAGCTAGTTTGCAAGATGGGAGGGGGCAGGGTTGGATTAGGTTTCTTTTAGCTCCAGATAATTTGAGGTCCTGACTCGGCAGTATGTTATTGGGAGAAAATATTTGAAGTTTGATTATAATGGTCCTTACTTTGTACTGAATAAAGGAAAGTAATTTCTTTTTAAAATTGTTTTTGTATTTTAAAGTAAAATTATTTTTTATTAATCTGGCCCTCCCCTTGCCTCGTCCATTGAATAAAAAAAAAATCCTTCAATATATCTCACATAACCTAGTAAAACAAATTCCCACATTAGCCATGTCTAGAAGTTCTTGTCTTTTTCTGTATCTTAAGTTTATCACCTTTCTGTCAGACGGGTAGTGGTGTGTTTCACCTTCATTCTTTTGGCTTTGTGGTTTATCATTGCATTGTTCAGAATTCTAAAGTCTTAAGGGTAATTTCTCTCATGAAAATCCATTACACTTTCTCCTCAGAGAAACTTGATGACCTTTCCATCTTTGCCTTTTTAACATTGGTCATTTGCTCCAGTTTTCTTCCTAGCCTTATCCATACCTCTTTTATGAACAACATTTCCTTTGAAACTTCTTGGGCATCTTTGACAGCTTATGTTTAGAAGAAATGTTCCTAGAACAGAGGGGCTCATCTCTTCAGAACAAATTCTATTTTATTCTAGAATATAACTTAAAAGCTCATCTGAGTAGAGCTAGTCAAGATTTTTAGACAGCTACAAAATAGTTTCACTTCATTGCCTATGTTAGAATGAAAGACTGGGGAAACCATTGCTCTGATATAGTATGGCATTTTTGATGTTCTAATAATACTCTCATGCATAATACTCATGGTATGAACATTAGTAGGTTATTTCGAAGATCAAATGACATTATATATGCACGCTTTGACACAAAGGCTATGTGAGAGTAAAGAACTATTATTTATTGCTTAATGTGACCTTACTTAAAAGGTTTGGCCCTGTAAGTAAAAGCTTGTGAAAGTAAACTGATCCATTCTAAGCACTTTGCTTACTAAGTGGATGATTGTTGGTAGGTACCTTTCAGTGGGTCTGTACACCTGACCATTGTTAGGCTCTCCCCAGACACAGATAACTCAAAGATTACCCGCATAAACATATTTCCTACAAAAATACAACTCTTTAAGCCATTTGTATTTTGTTTAATATCTACTTTATACTAAAATGTATCACATACAAGTTAGTGAAAAGTTCAAAGCAATATAATCCCTAAGTACAAGGTAAGTATTATTATAATTAAATTTTTAAAATTTTCTTCCTTAAAAACATACTACCAGGGAAGCTAGCTATTTAGCAAGTGGATAGAGTTCAAATCTAACCTCATACATTTAATACTTGCTAGCTTTGTGACCCTAGTCAAGTCACTTAACCCCTATTACCTCGAAGTAAATACATATATATGTATATGTATGTGTGTGTGTGTATGTGTGTATAATATATATGTTTAATATGAATGTATATGTAGAGGCTATATTAGACTGCACACCATCTTGGGGAGGGGGAGAAAGTTTAAAACTCAAAATCTTATGGAAGTGAATGTTGCAAATTAAAAATAAATAAATTTTAAAAACCATACTGCAAACTCACAGGATCTAGATCTAAAAAATGCTGGTCCAGTCTCATCTTATAGATGTGTAAACTAAGTCCCAAAGAGCTTGTGAGTTGCCTATGGTTACATAGGTAGTAATTAATGGAGTTGGGATTTGAACCTAGGTTAGATGCAGTGCTTCTCCTACAGTAAATTCAATTACTGGTCAACTGTAAAAATCTCACTTACAAGACTGTGCTAGGCTTTATTCTTAGCACCTGGTTGAAAATTACCACCTATTCTAGCCTGTTAACATTTGCTTAAGGGATAGTTCTTTCCAGGATTTCTTAAAAGGTCCTCTATAAAAACCGTTTGATCACAACTGAGCAGTTTTTTGCCAAAGTTAATAAGAGTTTCTTACCCCCCATCCCCCCCACACATATTGAGGGTCAAATAAAATAAAGACAGTGATTTGTAGGTTTTCCAAAGGTACTGTATTCTTGACTTGCAAGAGAATTCTAATCCCAAAGCATTATTTCAAAGAGAGTCTTGGAATGTCTCATTCCATTTGCACTGGTACCAGTTTGAGACCTCCACCAGAAACAGAATAATGAAAAGGGACATTTGTTTGGACATTAGGCCAGAGAACTTAGTCATAAGACTTTACCTAGTACTTTTATGTGGTTATCTTCTGAAGCAAATTTCAGCCACTTGGCTCAGAGAAATAGTGTTTTCCATTTGGTTCTTTGCTGGAGGATCAGGAGTATCAATTCAAAACTAAACTTCCTATGGGGTGGCTAGTTGGCGAAGTGGGTAGAGTATCAGGCCTGGAGTCAGGAAGATAACTTTTCCTGAGTTCAAGTCTGACCTCAGACTCTTACTGGTTGTGTGACTCTGAGTAAGCCACAACCCTGTTTGCCTTTCTTTTCTCATCTGTAAAATGAATTGTAAAATGAAAGAAATGGCAAATCACGCCAATATCTGTGCCAAGAAAACCCCAAATGGGGTCATGAAGAGTCAGACCAGACTGAACAACAATGACATTCCCCCAGGGGTCCCAGTTTGAACAGCTAGGAGCTCAGGGTATTTTGTTTCTCATGTCACAGTCCTCACAGCTAAAAAAGAGTCTGTCAGGCAAATGGGCCTTAGCTATTACTGAGTGCTTTATCTTCAGGAAAGTATCCTTTGCCACCTTACTAAACTCTTTCCTTTGAGGCTCATGAAACCCCACCTCCACTGTAAAAGCTTTTGCTGCTGCTTTGAAATGGAGAAATTCTTATCCTTGTTCCTCTATCACTTACCTTCTCACTAACCCTGCTGCCTTTTTTTCAGTCTTTCAGAATGTATATTGCATTATATTTTGCTCTGGGTCTCCATTACATGCCCCCCAAACATTTTGATGCTAGTGTTTGCACAAATAATTTTATTAAATGTTTTAATGTAAATATATTACCTTAAGTTGAAGACGAGGCTTCTGAAAAATCTGGAACTATCCCTTTTGGTCAGTTACCATCTTAAATGAAGATAGAATGTAGAAAATTATCCAAAGATTTAACAGTATGATGGAACTAGATGACTAGCCCATTTATAGACTAACTTATCACTACAAATATGATCTATGAAGAGACTATAACTCCTTTGTAGTTTAAATAGGGCTTCTTAAACTTTTTTCCACTCATGACCCCTTTTCGAATTTTGGCAGCATTCATGTGCAGTGCAAAGTGTGCATGCTTTGTGTTCAGAACCACAACTGCAGTGAAGTTGTGCAGGCAACACGGGTAAGTGCTGCCAGAAACACCTTGGATTCAATTTGATTTTTAATTTGGTCATTTTGTGTTCAGAAATTTTTTATTGTTCCAAATACTTTGCAACCCCGTATGGGATCTCAACCCACAATTTAAGAAGTGCTGTTTAATAGAAGGTCTTTAAGAATTTCTGTGTCCAAAAAGTTCGTTCCCTTGCAACCAGTCTGGTAATGAGCATCTCTGAACTTAAAGGCCTTAGGGCCCACACTTGAAGTCCAGCTCAAGTTCTAACACTTATTTCGCTCTTAAAACTCACTTGGGGAAGTAATCTCATTTGTGAAACAAGGTTTGAAATGCAAATTAATTTATCTCCACCTTCTGTTGTCTTTCTCAAACCATTTAACTTTGTGTCCTTTTGCATCCATCTTTGTAACAAAGTTTGTAATGGGATTTTTATCTTTAAAATCTCTTCTCATTTCTAGGGGATGTGATCAGCCTTGGTGACAGACAGCTGACTGTTATGCACATGCCTGGTCACTCCAGGGGAAGCATCTGCTTACTGGACAAAGATCGGAAGATTCTGTTCAGTGGAGATGTTGTATATGATGGAGCAATGATTGACTGGCTTCCATACAGCCGAATCAATGATTATATTGTTACCTGTGAGCGTCTGATAGAATTGGTGGACAGCGGTGTGGTAGAGAAGGTGCTTCCTGGGCACTTCAACACCTTTGGAGCTGAAAGGCTGTATCGCTTGGCTTCCAACTATATTTCGAAAGCTGGTTTGTGTCACAAAGTTTCAACCTGCGCCATGAGATCCCTTGCAAGTTTAGCTCTGCGTGTAACCACCTCTAGGACCCCATCCTAGTTTGTATGTATTGGTTTTATCATGTAATTGATACTTTTAAAACCAAGCAGTTTTGTGGTTAAAATAATTGATTGTGATTGTTTCAAGAAGTGCTTTCTCAATATTGGGGGGGGGGGGGGCAGATTTGAGAAGGAATAAGCCAAAAGAGGGAGATTTCTTATTTTAACTTATTTACTTTCCACCAAATAATTATAGTAAGCCTCTGAAAGAAGCTAATAGCTTGCCAAAGCTGTTGCCTTTTAAATGTTTGTGGGTTTTTGTTTTGTTTTGTTTTTGGTCATTGAAACTGTGGGATGGTTGCATGGGGAAGGCATTTTGGAGAAAAGGAAAGAAGAGTTATCCATACCTGCTTTGGGAAACTCTCGTTTGATTTCTTATGTGCATTAAAGTAAGTTTTGGGTTTTTTTTTTGTGCCCCAACCCTGATGTTTTCAGTATTGTATTTAAAATGAAAGATGAAACTTCTTCAGTTTAAAATCCATTTGAACTCAATGTGAAACATATAATATAGCTATTTCTTTGAACCCTAAACATTTCACTACTGTAGGGACTGGATTCATGTGTGCCATGATTTATTTATTCTTTGTGTAACTTATTAATGAAATAGTCACTGTCTGTGGTGTGTTTATTTTATTTATTTAAAAATAGTAAAGTGCATTTGGGTTTGATGCAAGGCTTTATAAAACAAATGCTTCATTATAAAGGCTGAAAACATATTTACAGTGGAGGTGTTGTATTTTGCAAATAGTGAAGTTTTAAGTGTGTGTATTTAACTGCAAATGTTTAGATTTCTTGAAAGGACACCGTCAGGCATACTTAAAAATATATATGATTTGAAATATTTTCTTCTGGTTTGGAAGGAAAAGTGAAAACAGGTCTCTAGAGCATTCTGTCTTTGGTCAACACTTCCTATGAGATCAACTTTGGGACTCTTAAAAAATTTGTATAATCTTGACACAAGTATTTTACTTGGTCCTTTGTCCTATGTTGCATTAAAGTGCTTACTAAATTAATTTCATGGTGTAAATTAGATAGTAATCTTTCCCTGATTCACAGAACTGATTCTTGTCTGATGGATTTTGAACCACCTACAACCTTTGGCTGAAATGGAAAGATCTCATTTTCACCATCTACTCCAAACAAAAGCTAGACTAGTATTTACTGATGCATATTGGTTTGGCATATGGGGGTGTGTGTGTGTGTGTGTGTGTGTGTGTGTGTGTGTGTGTGTGTGTG